AAAAAAAAAAAAAGATCATGACCTGAGCCAAAATCGAGTTGAACCCTTAAATGACTGAGCCATCAAGGCGCCCCTGATTATTTGTTTTATCATCATAATTATAGTATTATGTAATTACCACAAACTGACCTGGCCCAGAATACCTAATATGAAAGCATTTTAGGGGGTAAACGAGAATGTATTCATGGTCACTTTAATACTGCTAACTGAAGCTGAGTGGCTCACTGTGGCTTTCGACTGTGTGTAACTATATTTCTACCTACATTCTAGGTAAAAAGAGATCTGCCACTTTAGCTAGAAAGGTCTAAGTAATTAATTTCATTGTAGCCGATGAACTGAAATTTCAATAGTAGTTGATTACAATATGTTCTTGTAGCCCCAACTGTATCACTAACACTATGGACAAAATGATGGAAACAAGCTTTTAATGTCTTCCTATGCCACTAAAATTCTTTCTGCACCTACTATGTACTGATCAAACATAGAGGCAAAATTAAATACTTGTCTACGGAGGATTGTTTACAGGGGGAGGTGCAAATTATATAAATATTCCTATTAAGAAATATAGTGTTAATCAAAAGGTATGTAGGAAGGAATAAAATCCGCAATCATTCAATGGTACATAGGACTTAGGAAAGCGCTAACCCAATTTTAAAGATAATCGAACAGCATTATGTACGTAAAGAGTACTGTCATGAATCTGTGAATCTCACTTAAGTAGATGCCAAATGTGTGACTGGCATGAGTTGGAGGCTACTCTGCTTGGGCCTAGTTTTATGCAACTTAAATTAAGTATTTAAATTTGGCATGGGGCACGTTGCTTGATGTATATTCAATTACTGTCATTGCGTTTTTTCCTTTGTATTTGTCTTTCCTGATGTGAACAGCAGTGCCAATTAAAACCATTTTCATGGGGGCGCCTGGGTGGCTCAGTCGGTTAAGCGTCCGACTTCAGCTCAGGTCATGAGCTCGCAGTTTGTAAGTTCAAGCCCCGCGTCGGGCTCTGTGCTGACTGCTCAGAGCCTGGAGCCTGTTTCAGATTCTGTGTCTCCCTCTCTCTCTCTCTGACCCTCCCCCATTCATGCTCTGTCTCCCTCTGTCTCAAAAATAAATAAACGCCAAAAAAAAAAAAACAAAAAAAAAAAAACCACCATTTTCCTGGATGCATCTTCTTAGTCTGAAGTCAAGGAGTCTCGGTCAAGGAATTCATCCTCATATAACATGTTTCCTGTGTGGCTACTCACCTGGCATCTGGTAAGAATAAGGCGTCTGGCCTGGCTGGGGGGTAGAAAACCCCGGACTGTAACTGAGGCACCCACTCTGTAACGGGGATTGAGTCTGTGAAAGTCCACTCTCTGTCTTGATCCCTGGCAACATCACGCCCAGATCTGTTTGGGAAATGCATGTGCAAAGCATTTCATTAGTCAGATGACCCTACTTCTGAGTTGTAGCTTACATCAGAATATATAACCACTGGCCAGCAGGATTGCCCACTCATAACCAAAGGAAAAGAGAGGAGATGTGAAATACCGTAAGTGGGCAGGCTGTAGGGCTGTCCTGTCTGTGAGTAGGCTGTGTAGACGGCTGGCTGCTGCATCCCCGAATACTGAGTCTGGCCTGCATAGGCAGTCATTGTTTGAGCTGCTGGTGTAGAAAGAATGTGTGGATAGGGCCTAAATATCAGAAAAATAGCATTACTGTGGCAACAAAGACTGCACATTAATTCAGACAGCTTAGATTCAGTGAAACCTTACAATAGCCAGGAGGTAATGCCCTTCTTTATCCGC